AAGGAAGGAAGGAAGGAAGGAAGGAAGGAAGGAAGGAAGGAAGGAAGGAAGGAAGGAAGGTTATAATGAATGAGGGAGGGTCTGAGAGAAATCGTGCCTTAGCAGGTGCCCCCAACACATGGTCGAATTGTCCATGCCCACCCTGGCCACACCCACGCCGCCCCCCCAAGGTCAAACACAACCCTGATGCAGCCCTCAATGAAATGAGTTTGACACCCCTGGATTAGAAGACTTCCAAGATGCCTCCAACTTCATGGTTCCATGATTCTAAGAAGCGTTGTGGTTAAAATGAGCAAACATGAAATGAGTAGTGCTAATACCCTGAGCTGATGCCCGTTTTTTCAGTTGTTGTTTTTGCTTTGTTTTGTGTTGCTTTCAGAAATAGCAGCTGTATTTTAAGGCGATAGGTAAGTTTCTGGCAAGGTTTCCCCCCCCCCCCGATTTCCATCAGCCTTGGTGTGAGACAACCATTGCACAAAAACAACTTGGCTGTGCATGACACAGCCTGGCCTTTCCACCCACAAGACTGTGGCTGGCTGGAGATGATTAAAGAATTGTGTGTTTCTCCTTTGACTCACAGAGGAAAACCAAACCGCCACCAAGATGTGATAATTTTTTCAGAGGAATAATTTTGTCCTCTTGTTCAAAAATGCTTCCCTCCTTCTCGAGTGGAATTAATGATGGTAAAAGGCGTTGCCAAACATCCAAACGAGGCGCAATTATGAAGTTTTGTCTCCTGAATGTATTGGTGGAAATAATTCTCCTGAGGAAAGGGCAAGGTAACAAAGCCACCGAGGGGGTCATCTTGGATCTGGGAGGTGAAGAAATCGAGAGAGGTGAAAGATTTGTCTTATTTTTTAGTGACCCTCTCTTTCGTTTGCGGGTCTAAATGAAAAGACAAATGTTGTGTGGGTGCACGTTTAAGATTTCGGTAGGTGAAAGTTTAGCCTGTTTGCTCAAAAGGAGCAAGAATTATAATTGTAAAGGTGCCTCAGCATCCTCTCCACAAGACAAATTACAATTCCCATTATCCTGAGCTAACTGGGGATGATGGGAAGTGTGTGGACCACTATATCTGGGCACCACGCGGTTGATCAAAAACCACTTAAAAGAAGCATCAAAATGGTTCCCTGCGAGTGGGATTTTTTGAAAGGTAGGATGGGAAGTAGTGTTTGGCCAAAGAGGTGGTTAACGTCTACTTGTTCTCTCCATCAGCCATCTTGGTGAGAAAGCTCACTCATGAACCTGGGGAGGAGGCCTCCTTTCCCTGTGAAGCTGTGGGCTATCAAACGCATTTGTTCTGGCTCCCTCTGAATCCCAAATGTGCGAACACCAACACA